GGGGGGGGGTCAAAAACGCAACGATGGGGTCAAACCAGATGCATTTGATGGCATCGGGAACGCCAAGATTCGGCGTCGTGTCTTTCCCTCCTCTTCCGATCTGAAGAAAGCGCTTCTCTGGAACCTGCAAGCAAACGGCTACCACTAGTACCACTCCTGTGCACCAATTGAAGGCAAGCACCGCATTTTCCGAGGTCCATTTTTTAGTTTTTTTTTTCTCTAGAAAGGTGTACCCCCTTTTGTGGGCTGTAGATGCCTTGTGGCCACGGAAGGCGTCCGCGTCAGTTGGACGAGTACGGACATTAGACCCGAACGGTTCTTAATGCAAAGACAACAACAACATCAACAACAACAACCGCAGCGGAAAAGGTGGAGAGAAGGTTAAAGGACAACTCCAACGTTTACCTTCAAGACTTTCTACTAGCCGGGCTTGCAACTTCTCGCTCCTCGTGCTAAACCCTTACCGGAGCCGATATCGCCCTCCCAATATACGACGACGAGAAGTGATAGCTCTGGACACCGACCAAGCCGGTTCGCCTGCTGTGCCTGCTGTTGAAGGACCAGTTGTTCGAGCTGCCCGCACGGAGCGAGCCAGTGGGCAACCCCCTCTCGGACCTGTCGGTCACAAAAAAAAAAAAAAACGGTGTTCGCGAGAGTGAGATCTCATCGCGCAGCAGGCCGTGGTGTGGACCCCCCCACCCGAAAACGCCCGCACTTGCAACCTCTACAATAGGTCTAGCCGGGACCGCGGTTCTTAGATCCTCTTGTGGGCTACGAATGGTCGCTACATGGCCTATAGTGCGAGGGATTATTAACCGGGCTCGCAGATGGTGCTATTTATCAACGTTCCAGACAACGCCGAGCATGAAGTCCTTAACTTGACTGCCAAGTTCTATGTAAGTGCGGGCGGGTCTTGTCCGTACACACACACTCACTGACTGATTTCGTCGAAGTCAATGAACGCTTCGTACTGCCCGCCGGACTCTGAGGCTTCCACGTTGGCGTCGTAACCGCCCGTACCCTGGTCCCGGTCTCCCTCTCTCCCGGGTATGCCCCTCGCGGGATGGGCGGCAACCCCCCTCCCCCTCCTCCTTCCGTTTCCTCCTGGCGTCGTCAAGCCAGGGGTCCCACGGGCCGGAGGAGTCTGCGGTACTGTGGGGCGGACTGTGACACTTGGGGACGCTGCGGCAGCAGCGGTGCGGGCAGGGCTTCCACTTGGTGAGCCGGCGCTGTCGGCGGCCGCGCCCCCGCCGGTCGGGGCGGCGTGTTGGTCGACGTCCCCGCGCACGTCCCCGCTCCTTTGAGAATCGTCCAAGAACCCCTGCTCATAGCGCCCGGGCTGAGGGTTGAACCGAGGCGGCGCCTGGTCTCCGGGTTCAACCGGGTTGAAGGCCGCCCTCATCGGCAGCGCCGGTCCCGTCGGAGAGCCCCATTTTTCCACGCTTGAGGCCCCGCTGGTTTCGTCGAGCCCTTCGGAGATCGTGGAGGGGACGCCGATCGGCAGGGTCGGCGCGGCAATGGGAGCGGCGTCCAGCTCTTGCTTTGTTTCTGCTGCGGCGGCCGCCGGTGCTGGTGCCGCTTCCACCCGCGCACCCTTTCTCCGTGGGAGGCACACGCGCAAGGAGGGACACGCAGGAGTCATTGTAAGGTGGGAAGTGGGAAGAAACGACAGCAGCAGCAGCAGCAGCAGCAGCAGCAGCAGCAGAGCTACAGCGCCGGGGGGGGACAAGCAGAAGTCTTGTTCTGTGAGCAGCAGTGCTACAGCGGGGGGGGG